TATTTCTCATCTGACTTCTTTATGGTCAAGCCTTCTTCATTGTGAATTCTTTATTTTGATTCATGTTTTATGATTGGGTTATGGTTGAAGGTATTTTTTTAGGACACATACAATAACTCATATATTCTGAGTTATTGAATATTTGAAAATTTTATATGCAAAATATTTGCTTTTATTAGCAAAAACTATCTTAGTTGGGTATATTTGGGGTCACATCTTTTCTGCTTAAAACTCTGTAAATATATAGTTTTGTTTTTAGTCTAATGTTGCTAAGGTATTCAGAAGCAAGATTACTTTTTACCTGTTTCTTCTGTCTGGATGCTTTCAGGAGTCTTTGTTTTTAAATGATCTCTGCAAGAAAATTAATCATGAAGTTAGCTGTTGTCTATTAAATTTCTCTGGATAACCATGAGTTCACTTAATGAGTTCAAACAATGAGAACTCAAAAACCCACAGATTCACATATTTCTTTATTTCAGGAAAGATTTTTCTATTATATCCTTAAATGTTTTAAATATTTCATCTTTATGCTTTTAAAAAGAGCACCTAATACCTACATGATATATATCTAATATCTGTCTTTGGTACTAATTGTTTTCCTAATCAATGTAATTTTTTTGTCCCTTTCCTTTGTGGGTTTTTTTTTTTTTGCAATTTTCATCAGCATAACCTTTATGACACTGATTTAAATGTTTGCTATGTAAATTCTGATCTCCAGGCTTATTAGGTAGTTCCAAATTCTGTAATGTTTTTTGTTTGTTTGTTTGCTTTGTCTTGTTTTTTACTGTTGTCAGCTCACTTCATCTTGTTGCTTTGCTACCTCTTACAGTTCTTATTTCTCCTTTGGGTTCTTCTATCATTCATATGTTTATATTATATTTCAGTTCCTGGGGAGTAGGAAGTGATTCTTGCTTAAATTTTCTACTATTTCCTGGAGTAAGTCTTGTTCCAATATAGAGTCTTCATTGCCTTTTTATTGGTTATATTTCTTTTCTTTTGTCTTATATTTTACAGATTTTTCCCCCTGCTTACTCATCTTTGAAATAAGGCATACTTGGTTTTTTCTGCTACTTGCCAGAAATGTTGTGAATGGAAAATCTTTGGCAGTCCTTCCTTTTTACTTGCCCACTTGTTGAAACTTAGTTTTGCATTAAGGGTTTGCTATTGGCTATTTTTTTTGTTTGTTTGGTTATTTATCTGCTAATGATTTAGGGTGAATGAAATGAAGGGTTGGGGAAGAAAAGCCGAGGAAAGAAATATGGCAGGTTTGGGTACATTACCTCTGGACACACAATCCCCAACCTCCACTCTGTTGAAATAATTAGAGTTCTGCCAGGTCTTACAAAACCTGGAATTAGGTAGGAGATACTGGGAGAGGCCAACTCAGTATAAAAACCAATGGCTCAAGGGCCTTTTAGTTATTAAATATGTAGACCAGCTGCTTATTTCTCTTTGGTAAATTGACTTTAATCAGTAGCTACAAAATTATTTTGTAACATCTCTCTTCAATATTAGTACTGTCTCTAAGTCATCCTCTGGCTAGAAAGCTGAATTCACTGAAAACAGAAATATTGGTCACTATCTCTCCTTCAACTCCATGGCCCCGGCCATAGACACTGATTGTTACTCATTTTTGTGGTGACATACTTCCAACCTTTGCTCTTCCAAATTGAGTATTAGAAGGGTCTTCAAAAACTTTCATTTTTCCCTCTGTAAATCTAAGGTCACAAATAGGAGATGTGTCTTGAACCTGGCATTCTTCTCCAATCGGTTCACCTATAGCTGGCATTCTTGCAGGTTGTGGAATGGGGTTGTGGCCATTCTATAGTTCCAGGATAAATTGTTTCCACTTCTGTTTTTTATCCTTTTTGATCTTTTAAGTAGACAGGGAGAGGTGTTTTAAAAGTTTGAATGTTGCCCTAACTGGTTTGGCTCAGTGGATAGAGCATCAGCCTGCAGACTGAAAGGTCCCAGGTTCGATTCTGGTCAAGGGCATGTACCTTGGTTGCGGGCACATCCCCAGTAGGAGGTGTGCAGGAGGCAGCTGATCAATGTTTCTTTCTCATCGATGTTTCTAACTCTCTATCTCTCTCCCTTCCTCTCTGTGAAAAATCAATAAAATATATTTTTAAAAAGTTTGAATGATTTATACATTAAAAATCAATTTTATTATGTGAATAATAATTCTTATTTTTTTGTTTTGTAATTTTAGTTCTACTACAAATCTGATTTTTTATATGCATAAAGCCTACATATAATTTATATATCATCCTAGGTATTCTATTTTTAAATTTAAAACTACTTTATACACAAAATTGATTCCATTTTCGTATTCAGTTAGCAATGGGCAAAATCTAATTTGAATAAAACATATATGAAAACATACCTCCATAGAAGGTTATTGATTCCTTGAAGTTATTTCTACTTTTACTTATATCCTACATATTTTTATTGAAAATATGTAGTCTTGGTTATACTATCTTTATGAATTTTCTCCCCAAGGAAATAATTAATATTTATAAATGTGCTATGGCTCTGCAGTCTTCACAAATCTCTAATATTACTAAAACCAATCACCCAGGCCGAAGACATCAGAAACCATTCTTTCTAGACATGGAAGTTAACATGCCAACCAAATAAAGGAAAAGATTCTTTGGTGGGTCAGTTTTATTACTTTCTCACAGCACTCCTTCCTTGCCTTATACTGAGAGTTGCCACTGCTGTAGAGTAGATATAATAGACACTTGATTTTTTTTTCATGAATCCCCAAATCATACATATGGAAATGTCTAGAACCAAAAATAAGAAATCCAACTTCCTGGATGTTTTTTAATTACTTAGACATTTTGTATATATCAAAACCTCCCAATTATTTTAAAAAAATTTATTTTATGAAAGTGAGAGCATTCTTGGTGATGAATGAATAATAACAGGAAAAATGAGAAGCAAATGTTGGGCAGGGTGGATGAGCAAGGTAGGTTCATGCATCAACTTGGGCTTCTGCACATCAGCCCGAATTTCTGGGTCTATCTATTCTAAGCCACAGTAGAATCTCAAATTACTACATGGCATAGATCTTTTTGGTATTGGTCAAACCTGCAAATGTTAAGTTACCAAATGTACAGTTTTCCAGTATTGGTTCAATGGCTGATAACATTTAGGAATTGTGTTTTTGTCAAATTCTTTTTATCTCTCAAGTATAAGCAAGATAATTCATATTTTACCAACCCAAGTCTTCAATTACAAAGCTTGTGGTAAAGTTCCCTACTGTCAAATTTTAGCACCCAGTTCAGAATTCTCATTGCAAATTTATACTTCTGTTTTCCAATTAAAATGGGCTTTTGCAAGTCCCCTGCTGATAGCCATTGGCTTGAAAAAAGTTACTTCATTTTCAGCGAGGGTGTTTAGGGAGCTCAGTGCAAAGACTGGCTCTTCTGCTCTTGCCTTGAGCCCAGCTGTGCTGAAATATTAAACTTCAGTAAATTAGGTAAACTTGCAGCTTCCTGGCTGATGTAGTAATGCCCTTTTCTTTTTCCGCAAACAATCTCCAGTGTGAGTTTTCTGCACAATTCTTTTCTCCTCTAAGATAAATAAAATTGAGATTATCTTCCAAAGCTAAACAGCTTTTTCATTTAGACTGTCTTCCGAATCCAGACTTTTCATTTTCAAGATAGTTGTGCTATGCCCTACTTAGCTAACAGAATACGTATTTTCAAACATGTATAATTGGATTACTTTATTATGTTAGCACTGAAGACAGCATTACATTATTATACTATACTCAGTTAAGCAGTTGGACACCTAAAAATGTAAGTCTTACATAAAAGTGGCAATTTTTTCTTCATTGGTTAGTATATATTTTAGTAGCAATGGTGAGCTATGGGTGGAAATAATATTTCTAGTCACATTTATTTTCAGTTTTTTGCTCCTTTCTCTTTAAGAATAGGTGTTTTTTTGTTTTGTTTTGTTTTTAGTTCTGAGGTGTTTTATTTATTGAACAAACATTTATTGATCAATTACTATGTACAAAGTTCTGGTATGTTTTCAACGAAATATTTTTAATTAGAACAAATGCAGAGTTAGCAAAAAGAAACTAGGCGGCCATTCTTTTGTCTTCTTGATGTTATTTTTTCAGTGATGAACTTGCTGGTGGCAACTTTATTGAACTGTCTGGCCTACTTGCTCCCCAAAAGATTCTCACATTGCTTTTCTAAGCCCTTATGCTCCTAAGAGACTCTAGTTGAAATATGAATATTTTTGTTGCTTGGGAAAGTTACTCACGAAAGCCTTTCAAAGGACCTTTATCAAGGTACTCAGAAGACGATAGCGTCCAAAGGTTGTTTCTAGAAAAATCTCAAATTTAGACAAAAGTAGACTGAATAGTCTAATGAGTCCCCATGTAAACATTATGGAGTTATCGATTATTGATGTTCCTCAAGGGTCCAGAGTCAGGGGCAAAACCTGGGGAGGTGGCACAATGGAAGCTTGGGAAGTCTGGTGGCTACACATGTAGAAAGATGGTTTAGGAATGAAAGAGGGAAAGGCGACTCCCAAATAAGTAATTGGGGAGCCAGGCTGAATCACTGTTATCGGGTTACTCTCTTGCAATAAATAGACCATTAATAGATGCGATGCTAACCAATAGAATCTGGATCGATAGGATTTAGATCAGGAACGTACCAACTTTTTCTGAGAAGGGACAGCTAGTAAACATTTTTTAGCTTTGTGGGCCATACGATCTTTGTCACCACTACTCAACTTGGCACTTGCGTCATAAAAGCAGCCTTAGATAATCAGACACAGCCCTTGATTATACAAAGGAATGGATAGGGAGGTGTTCCAATAAAACTACAAAAACAGGCAGGGACCGAATTCGGCCCAGGGGCAGTAGTTTGCAGACCCCTAAAGATTGCCTGGCCCTAGAAAGATTCTCTGTGCCTTGGATTCTGCGTTTAAGCCAGGAGACGTTACTCCTTCTACTGGGCACCGGAACCTATCCAATGACTGCCAAGTTCCTGGCAGCCTTCATGCGTGGGACAATCCGGCAGAGCGACTCCACAATTTCCAAAGTTTTCAAAGTGAGCCCTTTGTTCCGTCCTCCTCCGCCCCGCTAAGCCCTGGCTGTCGACCACCGGGCACCGACGGAGTTGCATTGCTCCTAGGTGGGCTGCGTAGGCTTCGGGGAGCAGCCCGCGGGCCCTCGGGAGCCGGTGAAGGCGCAGAAAAGTTGGAGCCCAATCTGCACTGAGCGGAGCTCCCGCGCCCCAACCTTCAGGTGACCCCGCGCGGCGTCGGCGTCGGCGGC